TCTGTTAATATGGTAATTAATGAATGTTGAAACAAACTTGCATTCCTGGGATAAATTCCATTTCATAATGATGTAGTATCCTTTTTATATATTGTTAGACTCAACCTGTGAAAATTACGTTGAGAATTTTTGCATCTATGTTCATGAATGATATATTGACCTGTAGTTCTCTTTTGTCATATATATTTGTTCTCATAGAGTGCTATTCTCATAGAATGTTAGGTAGTATTTATGCTTCTTTAATATTTGGGAATAGTTTTTGTAGAATTGGTATTACTTTTTACTTAAATACCTGGCAGAATTCCCCCATTGAAGCCATATGGGCCTAGAGGTTGTTTTGTGTTGTTTGGTTTATGGGGGATGTTTTTTCTTTTTTTGAAAAAAAAAATATTAAATTTATTGGGGTGACAGTAGTTAGTAAAATTACATAGGTTTCAAGTGTACAATTCTATAATACATCACCTATACATCACGTTGTGTGTTCACCATGTCAGTTCTCCTTCCATATGGGGAATGTTTTAACTACAAGTTCAAGTTTAATTTCTTTAATAGATGTATGGGCAAATCAGAATATCTGTTTCTTTCTGAGTGTTTGGTCGTTTGTGTTTTTCAAGAAACTTATTCATTTCACCTAAGTTTTCTAATTGGTGTAAAGTTATTATTTTCCTACTATCCATTTAATATCTTTATTTATTTATTTATTTATTTTTAAAGATTTTTTTTTAAATTGGGGAATTGGGGGATGGAAAGAGCACTGAGGAATTGGGGGAAGGGGAACAGACAAGTTGCTATCGTTTTGTTCTTAAGTCTAGTTGTGGAGGACGTCGCTTCACTGGCCCAAGTTGGCACCATCATTGCTCTCTTCCCGGGCGAGGCAGATCAGTCGCTGGCTTCTGGACGGCCACTCACAGCAGCTGCTGGCCACTCATGCTGGCTGCTGGCTACACACGGTAGCCCATGGCAACCCACTGCCACAGGGACTGCAGCCTACGCCGTTGCCAGCGACTCACGGCAGCCCAGCTCCAGGTTAAGCTGTTGTTCAGCATCTCAGCTGTAGAGGGCAGTGTCACTGACCCTCATATGTGGGATCCGAACCGGGGCCCTCTGGCATCCCAAGCCAGCTCTTAACTAATGTGCCACTCGGCCGGCCCCCATTTAATATCTTTAGAACATGTAGCGATACTATCTCTCTCTTTCTGATATTGGTAATTTTTGTCTTCTATATTTTTTCCTGATCAGTTTGGCTATGGATTTATCAATTTCATAGAGTTTTTAAAAAAAGAATCAGTTTCAATTTCATTGATTTTTGTTTATTGTTATCCTATTTTCTTGTTTCATTGGTTTCTGTTCTGTTTTTTATTATTTCCTTTATTCTGCTTACTTTGGGCTTAATTCTATTTATGAAGATGGAAATTTTCTGAATCTTTTTAGATTTATTGGATTTGTTTTATGACTCACAATATGGTGTATTTTGGTAGATGCCCTGTGTTCACTTGAAAATAATATGCATTCTATAAATGTCAGTTAGGTCAAGTTGATTGATAGTAGTGTTCAAGCTTTCTAAACCCTTTCTGATTTTCTGTTTACTTGTTTCTATCAGTTATTGAGAGAGTGGTGTTGAAATCTCCAAGTGTGGGTGGATAGGTCTATTTCTATTTGCATTTCTAACAGTTTTCCCATCATGCATTTTGAAATTCTGTTATTAGATGCACAAAGCAGTTATGATTATTACATTTTCTTAATAAATTGGTCTCTTTTTCATTATAAATTGACTTTATCTCTTGCTCTAAATATTCTTTGCTCTGAAATCTAGTTTGTCCAATGGTAACATAGTTATTCAGCTTTCTTTTGATTAGCAGTAGTATGGATTTCCTGTCCTTTTACTTCTTACCTGTTTGTGTCTCTATTTTTAAGTAGGTTTTGTAGTGAGCTTATATAGTTGGGTCTCATTTTTTAAAATCCAATCTGGTAATTTTTCTTTTTAGATAGGATGATTAGAACATTTATAGTTAATGTAATTATTGAAATGGTTGTATTTAAATCTGCCCTCTTAATATCTGCTTTCTATTTGTCCTATATATATATATTTTTTTTGTTCCCCTTTCTGTTTTTCTTTTCTTTTTTCCTCTTTTGGATTATTTTTTTTAATTTCATGGGTTATTTTTTAATACTTAACATTTTATTTATTTTTAAAATTTACCCTTATGAAACTAACAGATAGATAAGGGAACAACTTCATATGATAGAAAAGAGAGTACAGTTTGTATCCAACCCCCCACCTGAAACCGCTCAGTTCTACTCTCTCAGAAATTTTCTACATGCACATTCATACAAACACAATTATCTCCTAATAGGAGTATTTTATGCATATTGTTGTGCTTCATTTTATTAACTTAATATATTTTTTACACTTGCAATTCAGCATATGCATTTTGCCAAATTTTCATAGGTTATTTTAAATGAATATGTAATACTTATTTTAACACTCTGTTTCACCTATGGTATAAAAATAATCCTTTATTTTTATTTATGTAATTCGACACACATTTATTAAATAGTTGTTATATTGAGTGTTTAGAGAAAGGGTTGAGGAGTAGGTGAGTCTTGCTCTGGGTTTTGGAGGAATTGGTAAGATATGATTGTTAGAGAATCTATTATAGGTTAGTAGAAGGTTGTGATTAAAGGCACAGAGATGGAAATTAATAGGGCAGGATTGGATGAGCTTAGCAGGAGCAACAGAAGTACAAAAATTCTAAAAGTATAATATTAAATTGAAAACACTTCAAGGATTGAGTTTTTTAGAAAAATGTTAAAAGCCTAACTAACAATCTTAATGAAATTGTAAAGCATGCAAATTTTATTACTTTTATGATTCAGCTGTCACATTTTTTATTCTCAGGAGATAAGGTACCATAAAATAAAATAAACCATTGGATTGAAATAAAGTTAAGATCAAATTTATGTTAATACCTTAGAAGTATTACTAAGAATTATGTAATAATTCTTAATAATTATTAATTATTACTTAGAATTATGACTAATTATATTTGGACAATAGTCTCCTCAAGATCTTAATTACCAAATAAATTGTTTAATTTTTATCTAACTTGACTGCTTCTTTTCGGAAGTTTCCTGTTTTAAATTGTACAATGCTTTCTCTTGTTTTTATTTCTACTCCTGGACAACTCTCAAAGTCCTTCATATAACCATTCCCTCAGCTGGACTCTTAAGTATTGTTAATTATCCATGGTTCTGTCTGTCCTGCATTTCGCTCATTTTTCTCTCACTAGATACTTTCATATGGGTTCTCTGAGAGTTTCAATGAGGGCTGGGAGGGTTTCAGATTTTGAGTTGTCTTATACTTGGAGCTTTATACCCAACTCAAGTTTGATTGTTTTGTTTTAAACCAAGGATTGATAGCTTTTAATTAATGTCAACCTTTGAGAGAAGGTTTCACTTTGCCCCCATAAACAGATTTTCCACTTGAGGTATTTGAGTCTAATGACCTCTCCCTCTTACAGAATCTGATACCAGACACTTCCATGATTTTACCTTCTATATAATAATTTGTTCTAACAATTTGTTGAACTGTGTTCTAACAAAGATAACACATGCTAGTACTGTGTTCGAGTAATGCCTACGAGCTTTATAGGTATTGATTTATTTGATCTTCACAACACTACAAGGCAGTACTATTATTGTCATTTCTGTTTTATAGATGAGAAATTGAAGTTCAACGAGGTTAAATACCTCGTCCAGGACTCCCCCTTCCTCTCCCCTCCCTAACACGTAATGGAGTCACGGTTTGAACTCAGATAGTCTAACTTCAGAGCCATGCTTCTAACTACATATTTTCATAGTCTTCTGGAGAGGTTTACTTATATGTAAGTATGTCAGGTACTTAAAATTCATGGTCTCCTAACCTGAAGTCATTGTTTTCTCTCCATCTGCACTGTCCTCCCCCAAGCAGATTTGCTCCTCTTTTTCTCATCTTAGTTCATGTTATTATCTTCCTTCTGGTCAACTAAGCTTGAAAGCTGAGTCATTCTAGACTACCACTTTCTCCTTCCTTCAACTGATCCTTGAGTCTTACTGATTTGTCCTTTCAATTAACTTTTGAATAAGTACATTCTACTCATTTTCATTGTCCCACCTTAGTTTCAGTCTCTCACTTGGAATGGCTATTTATTTCTTCTCAGAGATGCCTGTGTGATCTCTGGCACCTCTTACTACTTTGGAATTGTTAGTTTATATGTCTAGCTTCCCCTTTAGACTCTGTTCTTGTAAAGAAGGACCTCAAGTTATGATTTTGTACTCTCAGTGCCTAGCTTAATATGTGACATATAATATCTGTACAATATTTTTGTGAATACATGAATTAGCTTGGCATAGGTGTTAGTTTTGATGGCTTTAATATCATTATGAACATTAGATAGCGTCATTTTTTGGTCTACTTTTGGAAAAGTGTCTTTTAATGCCTTATTTATTCAAAAGCTAAAAATAAGTTTTGTAATTTTAGTGATCAAGGATAAAATGGACTAGTTTATATAGTTACATGTTACCTCCACAATATTCTCCCAGAATGCAAAAATGTGAGTTCTGCCATCTCAGAATGAGTGTGTCAATGGGAAGAGGCAGATGTCATAAATCTTTATTCTTTGGTATAGAATATAGTAGCTGAATTTTAATTGCCTCCAATATTTAAGTAACAATATAAAGTGGGAATTTTGGAATCCAGATTTTAATATATGGCAGTGGGCCTGCATTTGCTAATAATTTCTGAAGGTAGTTATATTCCCTAATTCCCTTGAATCAAATAAATGAAGTTATTGTTCCAAAGGGGATGTATGAAAGGTGGCAGTCATTGTCTACGTGATTAAATTTTTCATATGCAACATGCTGCTAGCTGTGGGACTAGCAGGCTTTTTTAAAAAATTATTTTCATTTTTTAAAGCCGATTCTGCTTAACCATTATCTCTGCCCTTGTGCTTTATTTGCAGCATCTGGCGAGGCCCCAATGTGAACTGCACAGACAGTTCGGGTTACACTGCTTTGCACCATGCGGCCTTAAATGGACATAAGTAAGTGCCACTTATTTGGACTGGAATCCTTGTGTATTTTGTTCCATGTGATGAAGTTAATTATGTCTGATATCTGTCTCATGTTGCCATGAGTCCCCTGGGCTTAGATGAGTTTGGAGAGGTACCAGATGGCAACACTTGACAAGTTAAACTTGATAGGAATGTTGTCGAAGATGATTATGTGCAGAGTGTAAACCAAGAGAATTGCTCTAAAATAGTGAACTGTCACACAGGGAAAATGAAAGATGTGACAGACCATGTTAGTCATGGGTAGATTTGCAGAGGCAATGGGATAAGACCACTTAATAACATCACCCTATTTGTTTTGGTGTCTGCCCATAACATGGGATTATTCACTAGGAGTGAAATCTTAATAGATTCTTGCTGTTATGAGCCATGAGCACTTACATGAACCACTTCAAAATCCTTCAAATTTAGCTAAAATGCTTTTTCTTTGGTATTCATAATGATCTTTCTGGTTTTAAACTTGTTTAACCTATTGGTTCATGTTTCAAATAATGTGGTAGTATACAGTATGGAGAGTAAAAGAATGTGTAACCATAACAACCTCTTTATTTCCAGTGTTTTAGCTAGGTAATCTAATGGTTTAGTGACAAAGTGTGAGGAGTCCACTGAATAATTCACATGTTCTGTTCTTCCCCATCAGAAGAGAAATGACTCTTTTTATGTGTTTCCTCCTGGTGTTTTTTCTTTGCTCTAATGATGCAAATTAATTTTCCCAGATCTGGATCATTTCATTTCACTTCAGTTTTGTTTTGTTTTTTTAGTGATTTTATTGGGGAATTGAGGAAGGGAACAGTGTTGAGGAATTGGGGAATTGGGGGAGGGGAACAGCCAAGTTGTTGTCCTTCAATCTTAGTTGTGGAGGGTGCAGCTAGCTCAGCTCCAAGTTCCGTTGCCACTTGGCTGCCCGTCAGCAGCTCGTGGAAGGTCAACTCAAGGTGCCATGTTCAATCTTAGTTGCGATGGGCATAGCCCACCATCCCATGCAGGAGTCGAATCGGAAACCTTGTTGCTAAGAGCGCACACTCTAACCACTGAGCCATTCAGCCGCCTGTTGGCAGCTCAGCTCGGGCACAGCTCACTGACCCATGTGGGAATTGAACCGGCAACACTGTTGCTCAGAGCTCCTGCTCTTAACCAACTGGGCCACTCGGCCGGCCCTCACTTCAGTTTTGAGATGTGGTAATTACTACCTAAAAAATACTAGTTACTTTTTTCTTTCCCATCTAACATTTCTTTCATTCTGTGAATTGAAGTGCAAGGGACTTAGTCATATTTGATCACATTTTATGGCCTTAAAGTTCTCACACAAGAAACTTATCATTTTTGTTTTTATTTATCATTTTGACATTTTTGTCTTAAAACTTATTGCATGAGTATAACATCATTGTCTCTACAAAATCATCTGAATTATATAAAATATCAAAAACTTAATGTTCCATCACTTGGATTCTTAGTATCAGTATTCCTAAATTACATTTCTTTACACCTAGTCCCTGTTCTATATTATGGCATCTAACTTATTTTGCCCAAGGCCCCTTCCAGCTATATTGCTGTCCTTCTGTAGAGTGCAAAAGGTGTCCAGATCCTTACCATATGAATCTTTTAAATGGATTATTATAATTTTTTTCTTTATTGTACCTGGCTCATCAGGAATGAAGCCAAATTAAATCAGCCCAAGGTATACAATACTGATGGCCTCTGGCCATCTTAAGTTTGGATTCAGGGGATGTTCCCATTGGGAAGACAAGCTTTGAAATAATGGACAGAAGATCTTGGGCCTGACCATTTGACCTATACTACTCTTCCCAGCTTGGCACTATAAGCATGTCTCAAAATAATGCCCCGGCATGGATTAGCATTCATATCCCTCCTTGATTTCCAGTGTTTAGTAAATATTATTGATTTATATACATAATGGCCTATATGAAGTTCTAACCATTGAGATATATTACCCTGTGGCCCACTGCATAATTTTTAGTTTCTATTGGCAGTATACAAAGTGTAGATAATTTAAGTGAATTGCAAAGCAATGATCAAGATCATCATAAAAGGATTTTACTACATTTCATTTAAGATGTCTTTAATTACAGATATTCCCTGAGAATTATATCACTGTGCTTTGCTTATATGAACATCTCATTTATCTTTTCTTTTTAATACTTTCTAGAAAGATTTTACTCAGTGTTATTCTATAGGCATTGGGGAAAAAGCAGGAAAATTCTAATCCCATCTCCCCATCTCTGCTAGTTAGTTAAATGACCTTGAGCCATTTAATTTAAACTCTCTAGGCCTCAGTTCAGTGTGCTTAATATATAGACTGGATATTTTTCCTTATTTCTTTCAATTATAATATTTTATGATATACCGTTTTGGTATTATTTGTGGTTCAGCTATGTACTATGATGTCACAGCTCTGGAATTTGGATTTTCATCTAGACTATAAGATTTATTTATTTTAAATTATTTAAGTTACTCATGGACTTTTAAAATTAGAGATCATTTATTCTCCCTTACCCGCCTCAATTCCCTCATTTTATAGCTAGAGAAACACGGCCATTTTGGATAAGTGACTTAGTGGACACTTATAATAGATATTAAAGTAGGGCTGTGTCTAGAGTCTTAATTGTTCTAGTTCCAAGTGTATGCTTTACCAGTGCTCTACATTATCTCCCCTTTGTGGCTCCAAGCACATCAATTTCCTAAACTCTTGCTGGCTTTTCTCTGTCACATTATGTATTTCTGGACTGCCTCCCATTATCATCAGGTAGTGTGTTCACATAGAATGCTAATTTTACTGTTGGCCTACAAAAAGGAGTTTGAAGGAGAAAAAAATGTCATAGAATAGATCTCAGAGCCTGAGAAGAATGGTTTTTCTTTTCTTTGCCGTTGCTATTCTCACTTAACATAGGTAATGAGCAATTGATTATGTTGCGTTTTTTCCAAGCAAGCCTTAGCAGTCAGCATAAAAACACATCATTTCCGTGTTTGTTGCTACTGTTGTTATAGCCATGGGCACTAGATGGTTTCCATAAACATTATGATTTCTAAGCTAAAGTTCATGGAATCATAGAGCTAGAAGTAATGTTACAGGGTCCTGTACTTTATTCATTTGCTTTGAATACAGGCTTTTTTTTCCTACTCCCCAACATAAAGTCTAAGGCCTTTATACTGCACATTAAGTCCACTTCCCCTCATTTTATATGTTTTATTTAGAGCACTTGTTTATTAACACTAGTTAATCCACAAATGGGGCAGCATTTTGTACTTGAAATACATCATTTCATAATGAACAATTCATCTCCATTTTGCCACATCAGGACACAACAGAAAATGTACACTAATGATGATTTCCAGGGTCATTTGTAATTGCAGATGAGAAAATTATTACCTTCAAATGATAGAGAAATCATGGCCAGTAGAACAAAATCCACTAGCGATAATTATAAATGAATTATTTCAATAGATAAGCTAGAGACCCATCTATTACTCTTTTTCTCTTTTTTTTAAGTATGGAGGATTCATTGTCTCATGTATTTCTGCTACAGATTTGATTCAATTCTCTTCTGAACAGCAGTTACCTGGTGTGGACAAAGGGTTTTCCTTTGCTCTTCTTCTGGCTTCTTTAATAATCAAATTGAAATGAGACAGATTATTAATATGAAAAAATAACCAAATTTAATCACATACATTGTATAGGGACCCCATATACATGAGGGAGTCAGAGATCCCACTTACAGGAGAGGTTCAAAGACAGCAAGTTAAAATGATGTATATGGCATTCTGAGCTAAAGATGAGGTAAGACACCTGAGGCTTCAGAGGGGAGGAAGATCATTTGCAGGATGATAAGAAGAGCAGGTGTTCAGTAATTAGAAGTTTGCCCTATAGATAGGTCATTAAAAGTTATTTCTGATAATAATTCTTATTATGGCAAAGTCCCTAATTTAAATTCTTTAAGGGAGAGGCAAAAGTTTCCCTTGAGCCCATAGGGTCTCGACTGCCTTCGGCTCAATATATTGGGTTGTCGGAAAAGTCATGATGCATTTTTGCAATGAAAAACATAAAAAAAAAAATGTCATGACTTTTCTGACAACCCAATAATTCATGTGCCAAAGTAGCACTCCTTGGGGAGGCCTGTCCTAAGCGCCTTCACCCGCCCGCTGGCCTGTTTCCCCTCCCTCCTTTCCTTCCTTCCTCCCTCCTCCCTTCACTCCAGTCCTCCGTTCTTCCCTCCCTCCCTCCCATCTTCCCTCCTTCCCTTTCTCTATCTTTTTCCTTCGTTCCTTTCCTCCTCCCTTTTTTTATTCTTTTTTTTAGTAATAATAATATTGTTTTCTATAAGATTTTACTAAACCTAAATATTCATATTTCATTTCAATTCTCCTCTTTTTAGCAAATTGCTCCTTTTTCTTTTCTTGTTAAGTTTCATCTCATTGAACTATTTTGGGTACATTATGATTATTAGATACTGTTTTGAAAAATCTCAGCACTAAATTGTTATTTCATCTTTGAAATATATGTGTTCTTTGAAATGTGCCGGGTTAAAATATTTTCTATCCTTGCCTCTCATTATTTAAATATTTAATTTTCAAATCCAAGACTCCATTATCTTTAATCCATGTTGTATCTCAAATTGGACCTAGAATCCAGATAGTAAGCTATCCATACTTTTAATTTGCTCTTTCTTAGGCTTTCTAATAAAAGAAGGGTGCTTCCTCTAAAAATTTGTATAATATGATCTGTGAAGTTGCTCTTTGAATAACCTAGAAATATCTTTGTTTTGATTACTTTTTTCTTGGGTAAGGATATTAGCTAGTTAAAATTTGGCTTTATTCATTCCAACTAGAAATCTGTGAGAGTGAATTCAATATATAAAGGAGCTCCAGTTAGAAAATGGAGTGTATTGTCTTAAAATCTTTTGACCACATCAAACATATTTGCCACTTTATTCCAATCTAGGAGAAGTAAAATCTTC